TGATGCAGTTCTAAATATATGTATAAGAAATATTTAAACAATTATATTCTAAAAGTGGGAAGTTGAGAAAAGAGATGTAAAGTCTGATAACATTTCTATACTTTAGTCACACTGTTAAAATGACAATACCAGGAGAAAAGTTGTGTGTCTAGTGTATACCTAGAACAACCAGAAAAATCACTAGATAAGTAAAAAATAGAATCTCAAAAATGTATGGGCAAGCCATAATAAAGCAAGGAAATGAAAAAAAAATATATATATAATGATTTAACAGGAAACAGAAAAATAAAACGACAGATGAAAGCACTAACAGATCATTAAATGCAGATGGTCTACATATAACAATTAAAAGACAGAAATTGGCAAAAAGGATTAGAAATCATAACCCAACCATATGCTGCCTACAAGAAACTCGCTTCAAATATACTGATATAGGCAGCTTAAAAGCAAAAGCATGAAAAAAGTTATATCATAAAAATACTAATTAAAGCAAAGTAGAAATGGCTATATTATACCAAAAAAGTAGATTTCAGAACAAATAAAATTACCACAGACCAAGAGAAACATTATTTAATGATAAAAAGGGCCAATCTAGAGCCAAAAATCAATTGATCAACCTGAACCTGAAGCTACGTCTCACACCTTATTAAAAAATTAACTGAAAATGGATTGTGGACTTAGATTAAAAATTTAAAATTATTAAAGTTTTAAATATTAATATAGGAGAAAATCTAGGGGTAAGGAAAGAACTCAGACCCAACACAAAAACACTATCCACTAAAGGAAAATTTGACCACTTGGACTGCATCAAAATTTAACATTTTGGGTCTTCAAAAGATGCTGTTAAGAGGTTGAAAAGACAAGCTGCAGAGTGGGAGAAAATATTTTCAAACCACGTATCTAGCAACAAACTTGTATCTAGAATATACAAAGAATCCTCAACACCCAATAGCAAAAATCAATTCAATTTGAATATGACCAAAAGACAAACATTTTACCAAAGAGGATAAACAGATGACAAATTAGTGTAGGAAAAGATGTTATATATCATTAACCATTTGGGAAATGAAAATTAGGACCACAATGAAATGGCACTATACACCTATCTGTATGACAAAAGAAAAACAAAAATAATAACAACTCTTATTGTTGTTGAGGATGTGGGGAAACTAGATAACTCATTCTCTTGCTGTTTGGAATGTACAACGATATAATCCTTCCCCAAAACAGTTAGGTGGGATTTGTTTATTTGTCCGTTTATTAAACTAAACATGAATTTATCATATAGCACAGCAATTGTATTCCTGGACATTTATCTGAGAGAAATGGATATGGTCGCACAAAAACCTACTCACTAATATTTATAGCATTTTTACAAGAACAGCAAAACTTGAAGATAATTCAGATGTACTGGAACGAGTAAGTGGCTAAATGAATTGATATACCCATAGCATGGAATACTATTTAATAATAAGAGGGATGAGTTATTGATGCATACAACAACCTTGCAGAATCACCAGAGGATTACACTGAGTGGAAAAAAAAATTGCAAAAAAGGTTACATATTGTATAATGCCACTTACATGATGCTTGTGAAATAACAAATTATAAAAATACAGGACAAACCAGTAGTTGTCAGGAATGAAGCAGGAGAGTGTGGGAAAGGAAGTAGATGTGGTTATGAAAGGACAAAATCATTGTGGTGATACAGTATCTTCACCGCATCAAAGTCAATATCCTGATTACAATATTACAATATTGTAGCAGACTTTATTAAGATGTTGCTATTATGGGAATCTGTATAAAGGGTATATAGTATCTCTTTGTATTATTTCTTTCAACTACCTTATGATTCTTTTTTTTTTTTAATTGCAAGGAAGGGAGGAAGGAAAAGAGACAGGGAGCAAAAAAATGATTACATACCTGAAAAACATTGACTTGGAGCATTTGGCTTTTAATATTTTAAAATGTGTTATTGCTATATGTCACATTCTATTTTTCATATTAGGTCATTGAACTGCAGTGTGTACATTATATTTGTGATACCTAATGATTTAGACTAGCCACACTTCAAGGGCTTAATAGACAATGTAGCCAGAGTCTACTTATTGGAATCTGTGGAAATAGATCTTTATGAATATTATTGGAAAAAAGAGGTGGAAGTTGGGAGAGCGAATGAAAGGAAAAGATGAAAGGAAGAGAGAAAATATTTGTGTACTGGAAGATATGGTAGATATAACAACTTAATATTAACCATTTGATAATATTAATCTATAGAAAGTGTATGGCATACCTAATAAAGCAATATATTCAAAATATACAAGGAATTCATCCAATTCAATGGTAAAAATTTTTAATTTCAAAATGGGCAGAGGAATGGAATAGACAGTTAAAAAAAATGTCCAAACAGCTAACAGATTCATGAAAAAGTATTAAACATTACTAATCATCAGGGAAATGAAAATCAAAACCATGATGAGATATTATCTTATACCGGTTAGGATGTCTATTATCAAAAAGACAAGCAATGATTGCTGGCAAGGGTGTGGCCAAAAGGAAAGCCTTGTGCACTGTTGTTGGGAATGTGAATTGGTACAGCTAGTATGAAAAATAGTATGGAAGTCCCTCAAAAAAATTAAAAATAGGACCACCATGATCCAGCAATTTCAATTCTGGGTATATATTCAAATGAAGTGAAATCAGGATTTTGAAGAGATATCCATACTCCCATGTTCATTGCATCACAATGGCTAAGACAAGGAAACAACCTGTCTATGAATAAATGAACAAAGAAAATATGATATATATCTACAATGGAATATTATTTAGTCAGAAGAAATAAGGAAATCCTGACATTTGTAGCAAGATGGATAAACCTTAAGGGCATTATACTAAATTAAATAATCCAGACAAACACTGTATGATCTCACTTGTATGTATAATTAAAAAAAAAAAAAAGCCAAATTCATGGAAACAGAGAGTAGAATGGTGGGTTCCAGAAGGTGGAGAGTGAAGGGAATGGGAAGATTGTTGATCAAAGAGTACAACCTTCCATTTATAAGATGAATAAGGTCTGGGGATCTGATGTGTAGCCTGGTGTTTATAATCAACAATACTGTATTATATACTTGAAAGTTTCTTAAAGAGTAGATCTTAAATGTTCTTATTACAAAAAAGAAAGGATAAATGTGACATGATAGATGTGTTAACCAGTTCTACAGTGATCATCATTCCACATTATGTAAGTATATCAAGTCAACACATTGGACACCTTAAATTTACACAATATTATATGTCAATTATATCTCAATAAAGCTGGAGGAAAAGAGACAGTATTAGCTTTCAGGGACATAAAATGTGGGTATTAAGTCAGTTGATTATGTGAATTTTAATAGTCAGTTAATAAAGCAACATTTTATCATTTGAGAATTAGATAAAATATTTAAAAAGAACAAAGATAATATTTACAAAGAACCTAATACAATGTCTGCAATATAATGATCTCTAAATAAATGTTGGCTATTATTAGGAATTTTCCTAACTTTGATCAGTAGGCATTTATTCCTATTATATAAGGAAAAACATAAATTGTCCAGAAACAATAATCAAAAATTACATTTTCATATTTTGTATTACAGAACTTTTTGGAAGTTGAGAGTAGTTATCATGTTTGACAAAAAATATTGAATAGAAACAGTTAAAAATATGTTGGATTGTTTTTTTTACCAAGTAAGGACAGAAAAATTCTGGAAAGCAAAAAAAAAAAAAATAAAGGAACTAATTTTTTTTTAAAAAATCCCAGAGTTTATTTGGGCGATACCATATATCTTCCCACACACCAAAGGAAAGAAATTAGTCTCCAAAGCTTTAGGAAAGAGTCAGGAGAGAGGGTATTTATCCATAATGTTCCAAATTACCCTTTTCAAATGAAGAACACTGAAAGTCATTTGTAGATATTGAATAATTTTAAAAGCATCACCATCCTCATACATTTTCTAAATAATTTGTGCAGTGTTCATCTTCAAATCATATTTGATCATGTTCTATTAAAAATAAAATTAAAATTAATTAATTAAATAAAAATAAAATAAAATTGATCACATGCCCTATAAGAATGCATTTACTTAAAATTACACATGCATATATTTTGCATAGATGAATATATATTCTGTACATATAGATTATGTATGTTATAGATGCATATGTATAATCATTATAGATTTTTCATATTTTAAATCAGCATAAATACAGTAAACAATCTAGATGAACAAATCTGATTATTGAAGGATATTTCCAATCTCACTATCCCTGATCTCAGGTTCTTGTTTTCCATAACCAAAACAAAACAATCACATTTTCTATCTTAAGTAAATTCAGCAACATGGTATTGGTGGAATATTTTTCATTTTAGTTTGTGTTACATTCTTCCCAGTTCTGCCCCTTCCTATCTTCATTTTATCACTTTGTTTGAAGGTATGTTTATACCTGGTACCACCTTATGTCAGTCCAGACCTGATAATGTATGTTAGCTTTTTTATTGTTTATCCTACCAAGACTTTTCACCTCCCCAGTTTGCAAACATGTAATCAGATCCCACTACCCTTACTAAGAGTATTTTATTTTACTGTGTGTCTTTAATCAAAACTCAAGAAAACATTTACCACAAAACTTTTTTCCAAAAGTACTAATTTTTTTAAGTTTTTCATTTTAATTTCAATATAATTAACACAATGTTACATTAGGTTCAGGTGCACAATATAGTGATTCAATGATTTTGTATATTACTTAGTGCTCATCGTAAGTGTCCTTTTAATCCCCATCACCTCCCCTCTGGTAACCATCAATTTGTACTCTGTAGTTAAGAGCCTGTTTTTTGGTTTTCCTTTCTTTCTCTTTTCCTCCCCCTTCCTCATTTATTGTGTTTCTTAAATTCCATATGAGTGAAATCATATGGTATTTGCCTTTCTCTGACTGACCTATTCCACTTAACATTATACTACAAAAATATGGAATATTCACGAATTTGCATGCCATCCTTGTGCAGGGGCCATGTTCATTAATCTTCTCTATATCATTCCAATTTTAGTATATGTACTGCTGAAGCGAGCACTGTAATTGTTTTTTTTTTTAATAAACAAAACTGCTATATGACTTCATGTGTAGTCCAAGTAAACAGCAATGAAAGATCATTGTATCTACTTCCTGTCTTTATGCACCTAGATTCATTCTTGTACTATAAAGCTCTCCTCTGGCTAACACATATCCAGAATCATTCATGTTCTGCAATGATCTCCTTATGGCTATTTATTGTTTTGCAGTCAATTTACAATGAAGTAATTCCTCAGTACTTCCTTCTATTAGAAATCTGAATCTTCTCCTGCTTTGAACAGTGCTTTCCTCCTACATGATGTAGCAGCCGTTCAGAGAGCTTCTTAGACCATGATTGCATTTCGGAGGGGAGAGAAATGATCCTGGGTACTGTTTTCTCAATTTTCCCAGCGATGGACAAGTGGCCTTGCCTCTGATGTTTTTGTATGCTTCTATTTCCCTTGCCATGATCTCCTCACCTGTCACAGGATCTCTGCCTCTGACATGCAGTACCTAGTGAGCATCAGGTGCTGAGGAAACTCAGCATGTTTTCAATTTTGGCTGTCAGCAACCACATTAAGGAAAGAAAACAATGACAGTACAGAAACAATCTGGCATTTTATTTGTCCACTTTTCTTATGTTCTCGTATGAAGTCATTAAGTCTTTGTCAGGGAAAATGTCATCACTACTCACAGAAGAGGGCCATGTCAAAAGGGTGTGAACAGATTAAATAATTATTTCTGAGGAAAGGTGGAACACTGTCAATTTCAGTGTTAAAATTTAACTATGTGTTGCATGTATTTAGTTTTTTCTAATGGTTAATGATATTTTCCTGTGGAAAAAAATCATTCATGAGAATGTTTCATTCTTTTATTTTCTGAAGACTGGACATGTATCCCCCACAGTTCCTCATTTAATATCACAGACTCAGAAGCTGTGGGGTAAGGCAGACATCTACTCTTATAGTCCCATTTGATCTTTAATTCCTTAGAGGCTTCCCTAATAAGAATAGAAGACACTGAGTTGAATAGATTGATGAGTGGAGAAGTGGGCTTTCTCCTCCTGGATCATATGGACACCCAGAGTGGTACTTCTACCCTCTGACCACACCACCACCACACATGCCCATATGCATTGAATGAGACCCATGAATGAGAAAAACAATTTTAAAGAAGAATATTGTTCACTAGCAAAACTCAACTCACATCATGACAATGAGCTGTCTTTGAGATTTAATTTCATAAACACTCTTCTTGTCAAGCTTTAAATAACACTGAAATTGTCAACCTACTTTTAAGGTGGTTTCTTATAACCATTGTAGAGGCACAGAATTCAGAAGCATATATAAACATATATGTTTATATTTTTTAATACTTAATTATAATAAAGTGCTTATCCATTCCTCTCTCTTTTAAGAGAACTATCAATATCCTGCCTGTCAGAAGGTTAATCTACTATGTTAAAGTGATTGATCCTATGGTATTGTCTACAAAATTAAATCTATATCCCTCCTTATTCTTCAGCAGAAACTATGATTCCAACAGTCTTCCCCATTTCTTCTTTCAATACTTTCCTATATTTCTAACATTTCTACAAAGCTAGAGTATTTGTTATTCCTTGAATGTGTCCTGTATTTTCAATGTCATTTGAAGCTTTCCTTAAGCTCCTTACTCCGCCGACAGTGTGTTTCCTCTCTCCTTTATTTTACCTCACTTCTCAAAATTACTTATTTTCAAAATGTCTTTGGGACAGATGACTTCTGGAATCATGGCTTGGGGGAACTCTGTGGACCCCTTCCCTGAAGAAATAATAATAAGAGGTGAAAATTAGAAATAAATAAATAAATAAATAAGCTAAGGAACCATTTAAAATCTCTGTAAACTGGCCAAAGGACATGCAACAAGGTTTTTTGAAGGAAACCTACTAAGTCTCATAAAACTGTGTCTATGACAGTTGGGTCATGTCCCCCACTCCCAACAACAAGATGGCAACTACATTCTGATGGGTGACCAAGAATCCCTTCCCTAGATTCCAGTCTAGGGCAGCAGTTTCTCTGCAGGGAAGGCAAGGTACAGCATTTCTCATCTTCCAACTCACTGTTTCAGGGATCCCCTCCCTCTGTGCAGCCCTCACTCGTAGGATAAAACCTCTATAGTAGACACAGTAGTTGAAGAAAACTAGAGACCCCAGTCACCCTCCCTTCAGCTCACTTGTAGCATGGAAATTTCATACCCAGAGAAGCAAGCTTTGAACAGAAAGAACTGCTCCTGACCAGCTCGTTGCTCACAGAACAAGGGCATCACTCTGAGAGGAGAGGGTCCCTGAGCTCAAAAATTGCCAATTCTGCGGGTATTGGTAATCAGCAACTCATGTTAACATGAGTCAGGGAAATAACTAAATATTTTCATCAATTAATTCATCATTTTCTGTGTTTCCCTAAAATTATAATTGCATAATTGCTGTTTCCTTAAAATCTATAGATTGTTAACTTAGAAGAGACAATATAATACAGATTTTATGTGTCCTAAAATAACCAACCAAAGAAAATGCTTACACAGCCACATTAGACATGACAAAAAATACATTAAAAAGTATCTAGGCTCTATGGGGAGAACATTAGAAAAATATTTTTAAAACCATAAATCTTAAATAAAAAACTTTGAAACAGAGACATGAAGTAAGATAAAATAGTTTAAGTTGCAATAACATGTATAAATTATATTTAAGAGTAATGTTAAGTTATATAAATTTGTTTTTAAGTTATATATTTGTTTTTAAGTTATATAAATGAAATAGGTGACTTACTAGTCCTACTTTAAAGTTTATACATGGAAATCATGACTCATAGATGTTTTAGTTTCCTGGTTTGTTTATATTTTTAACACTGAAGGAAATATTTTCCAGGAGAAATGATGATAATCACATGGGTGTACTATATTTAGCAAGGCGTTATATAATGGTTTTCATCTGACATGAAACATCTGGAGACACAAATCAGCAAAGCCTTCTGTTTCTTACTTTGGATAATTATATATAAATCTTCATTCATATAGCTTCTGCTTATTATGGGATAAAAAAAGTAAATCAGATTGTGTGGGGAACGAGATGTGCATCTGGAAAAGAAATAGTAAAATAAGAATCTTTTAAGGACTCTGAAAATATTTGGGAATGCACCAGATATATCACTTTTTAGATTTAACAATTCTTGCCAATCATGAAACAAATTAAATACGAAAAAGTGACAATATATAGATGTATAACAAAGCATCCTCAGGCGCAGGGTAACTGGGTTTGCGGGGTCAGTATCATAAATAGCTGGTACACTGATTCCCACAACCTAGTGCGAAGCAGCCTATACCTCTCCCACAGATAAGGCTTATCCTGTTAAAAGAAGGAGCCATAAAGAGAAAAGGGTATTAGTACAGAAATTCACACCTACCCCAGCCCAGCAAAGACCTGAACGTACCTTCCCTGTGTTAGTTCTCTATACTGCGCTGTTTCAGTACCCATGCATAACATCATAATTTCCATTTGTCAAAAGACTGGGCACTGCTTAGATGTACTTTCTACTCAAGATCTTCCAAGTCTCTGGTCAAGATGTCAACTGGGCTGCCTTCTCATTTGGAGGTTAGGTCAGGAAATAATTCACTTATAGTCTCTTCCAAGTTGTTGGCAGAGTTCATTCCCTTGTGCCTCAATTCCTAAAAAGTTTACAGAGGCAGTTTACAGCAGGTTATTTGGTTCTTCAGGGCCAGTAAGAGCCTATGCCCTCTTGAAAGGGCTCTCACTAATTTGGTCATGTCCACCCTAAACTGCCTTTTGATTACTTCAAAATCAGCTAGTGAGAACCTTAATTGCACCCAAAAATCCTGCCATGTATTCAGAGAACATAGAACCTAACCCTTGGAGCAACATAGAGTTGTAATCACAGACTCCACTCAGACTTGAGGGGACGAGATTATACAGAGTGTAAAAACAAGCAGGCAGGAATCTTGGGGTTTATCCTAAAAGTCATCCTATTTCTTTTGTCTGTACTGTCATTTGCAAATATCTTCTCCCATTCCATGGGTTGCCTCTTTGTTTTCTTGACTGTTTCCTTTCCTGTGCAGAAGCTTTTGATTTTGATGAAGTCCCAAAAGTTTATTTTGGCTTTTGTTTCCTTTGCCTTTGGAGACATATCTTGAAAGAAGTTGCTGTGGCTGATATCGAAGAGATTACTGCCTATGTTCTCCTCTAGGATTCTGATGGATTCCTGTCTCACACTGAGGTCTTTTATCCATTTTGAGTTTATCTTTTTGTACGGTGTAAGAGAATGGTTGAGTTTCATTCTTCTATATATAGCTGCCCAGTTTTCCCAGCACCATATATTGAAGAGACTGTCTTTTTTCCACTGTATATTTTTTCCTGTTTTGTCGAAGATTAACTGACCATAGAGTTGAGGGTCCATATCTGGGCTCTCCACTCTGTTCCACTGGTCTATGTGTCTGTTTTTGTGCCAGTACCATGCTGTCTTGGTGATCACAGATTTGTAGTAAAGCTTGAAATCAGGTAACATGATGCCCCCAGTTTTATTTTTGTTTTTCAACATTTCCTTAGTGATTCGGGGTCTCTTCTGGTTCCATACAAATTTTTGGATTATTTGCTCCAGCTCTTTGAAGAATACCGGTGGAATTTTGATTGGAATGGCATTAGAAGTATAGATTGCTCTAGGCAGTATAGACATTTTAACAATGTTTATTCTTCTGATCCAAGAGCATGGAATGGTCTTCCATCTTTTTGTGTCTTCTTCAATTTCTTTCTTGAGTGTTCTGTAGTTCCTCGAGTACAGATCCTTTACCTCTTGGGTTAGGTTTATTCCCAGGTATCTTATGGTTCTTGGTGCTATAGTAAATGGAATCAATTCTCTAATTTCCCTTTCTGTATTTTCATTGTTAGTGTATAAGAAAGCCACTGATTTCTGTACATTGACTTTGTATCCTGCCACGTTACTGAATTGCTGTATGAGTTCTAGTAGTTTGGGG